CATGTGAAAATGAATACGGATGACCGTTTGTATGCGGTCTGTTCCTTGTGTGCGCTGGTTCAGTTCTCCTCTTTCCCTCTCCACCGGAGCTGCTGTTTTTTGATTGGTGAATCTTTTAAATTTAACCATGCATTGTTCTTATTGGTTTCTGAGCTGATACGCTCATAATTTATTTTTACTCTGTAACGTTATGAAAGTTAAAGTAGTGAAGTAGAAGTATTTCATTAAAAATTAACTCAAGTAAAAGTATTATGGTTTAATTTTACTCCAAAAATACAGTTACAGGGAAAACTGTGCTCAATTACAGTAACAAGAGTAAATGTAATTTGTTACTTACATCTCTGGCATCCATCTACTGCACAGAGTGTTTGGAAATCCAGCTGCTTGAAAACCTAACACAGAATAATGCAGGGTTTGTCTTACTGACCAGGAAATGTTGTGTGACGTGTGTATTTACCAGAGTACAAAATTGATGGAGATGTTTGGCAAGAGTGGATTTTGTGACATTGAACCACCTCATATGACTCCTGGTTTGACAGTGTCCATAGACAGACTGGGACACTCTTTGTCAGTGGCAATTTTGTCTGCAGTGGATTCATATAAACAGGGCCAAGAGTGTTTATCAGATCCTAAATAGTAAGCTAAAGAAAAAAAAGGTTATAACAACATTAAAACCATTTGGATAGTTATGTGGCTTCCACATACTCTATACACCTCTACTTGTCCTTTGGAGAGTCTGAAATGACCTCTAAATTCTGAGAGACTATAGAGAGGGACAATATCCTCAATAAAATGTATTTTTTGAACAAGCATAAAGAAGGGGAAATGTCATCAAGTCCTTAGAAAAAATACTTAGTTTGGGCTTAAAGCCACTGCGACACAATATAATTGGAGTCCATTTACCATATATGCAACCTTAATGATTAAGGTCTGAGTGCACTTGATCATTTCCATTTAATTATTTCTAGAAATTTTTGAAAACACTGTTTATTATATTCACTCATTCTACTTTGAACAAACTGAATCATTTGGAATTATTTATTCACACTTTTTCATGTGAAATGATTGAATAGGCTGTTTTGAAAAACAGATTGCTTAGTTTAAGTCTATTAATTTATTCTTATTGACAAATATTAAGGCTATTTATTAACATGGATAACAGTTTGTTAAACCTTTTTTTTCACCAATCTACAAGACAAATGGATGATGAATAAAACCATTTGTGTTTACAGATGTTACAGAAACTTAGTTCGAAACTTAGAGCCACAACCTGTGGCTCTGTGGGGCTGGGAACCCTTAGGCTTGGCTGAGCTATGAAGCGAAGGGAGGGTAGTTCTGGTCAGTGACTGGAGCCATGCTGTATTGCCAGCAGATTGAAGCTTTTCAACCAAAACTTTTAGTTTTAAACTGACCTTTGGACATGGTCGATAGTAGTTTATATTGTGGGGCTAAACAGAAGACTTATGACAGAACATAGGAACTCTGCATGTACTCAGTTATATATTCTATGCAATTACTTTAGAAGGCCTATATTGACTACCAGCTTCAGCCAGCGTATGCAAATCTGTGAGAACCCTTGGTCTGGTCTCTTGTCAGAAACTAACTTTGATTCAAACGGAATCATTTTTAAAAAGTCAGCCTCCATTGAATTCTAACAGTGTGACGGAATACTTTAATTGGCCAATACTGGAAACCAGCCACAGTCAGTGGCTCTATGGGGCTGGGTACTCTTAGGGTTGGCTGAGCTATGAATCTAAGGGAGGGAGGTCCAGGTCAGTGACTGGATGGGAGACCATGCTGCATTGCCAGCAGGTTTATATTGTGGGGCTAAGCAGAAGACTTAAGACCGAACATAGGAATTCTGCATGTACTTGGTTATATATTCTACTGAATTACTTTAAAAGGACTGTATTGGCCACCATCTTCAGCCAGTGTATACAAACCTATGAAAACCCTTGGTCTGGTCTCATATCAGAAACTAAGCAGGATGGAGCTTGGTCAGGGCTTGTATTGAAAATAAACTCACAGGAGAAGTTGAAATCCAGTTTGGATGAGAACCCTTGGTCTGGTGTCATGTCAGAAACTAAGCAGTGTGGGGCTTGGTCAGGGCTTATTTTGAAAACTAACTCACAATCAAACTTGAAATCAGGTTCTGGACTTAGCCTTTGCTTTGAAATTAAAATAACTTTGTTGTGTTCTAATAGTGTGATAGATTAGTTTAGCAGCAGTGGTGGACAGTAACGAAGTAAATGTAATTCGTTACTATACTTAAGTAGTTTTTTTCATGTATCTGTACTTTACTGAAGGATTCGCATTTTGGGCGACTTTTTACTTTCACTCCACTACATTTCAAAGTCAAATATCTTGCTGTTTATTCCACTACATTATGCGAAATCTGTCGTTCCTTATGGCTTATGTATGTATAAAAACATAATGTCAAAACGAAAGAAGCGCGAAGCAAGGACACCAATCAGGTTACAGCGCGCACTTCGTTTTGACCTTGTTTTGACCTGTTGGACATACCGACCCAGTGCAAGCATATAGTTCAAGGACAGTGCAACAGTGTAAAATTTTGGGAGTGCCTATTCCTACATAAATGATGGAACTAACCTAACTTTGTGTAAATAGACCACAATATAGAAATATATACACATATGCAGTTCTTTTTTCTGAATTTATACAAACACTTTCATTTTATAGTAAATTTGTTTTTGCTAGTTTATGTTTAAGAACAGAGACCTACAGATGCAGTATAGTAAAGGAAAACTCATTTGTGAACCTGTGTTTAAAGCACATTTTTATTAAACTTAAACTTAACTGAGTTACTTAGTTAAGTAAGTTACTTAACCTAACTAAGTTGCAAATAAACCTTAAACTGAAACTTTGCTTGTTTGCAAAAAGTTATTTCATGGCCACTTGGTTCCACCTAATGGAAATTGTTTGCCTTCAGTGTTTTGTTCTTATGATAATTTTAATAGACACCAGTGACAGACTAATTAATAACATTCTATTAAAAGATTGGTTTACCAAGAGTGACACTAGAGTGTTTTCACCTAAAATGAGTTAATGAAGCAAGAGTCTTCAAAAATGGTAATAGGACATTAGAGTCATAATTAATCTTTTAGTACTTTTACTTTCGATACTTAAGTACAATTGAAGGCACATACTTCTGTACTTTTACTCAAGTGGAGGTCTAAAGGGAGGACTTCTACTGTCACTGGAGTAATATTTTACCTTGGGTATCTCTACTTAAACTCCAGTACATGATTACACGGTGGCTCTGTGGGGCTGGGAACCCTTAGGCTTGGGGAGGTAGGGTGGTCCTGGTCAGTGACTTGACGGGAGACCATGCTGCATTGCCATCAGCTACGAAGAATGCAAACGCTGCGAGATCCGCCACATCCGTGGGTTTCAGGTGGCGACTGTCCGACTTACCGGTTCTTTTCTACCCTCCTCCCACAACAAACCTAATACTTAGCGAGGAACTGACAAACTGAGGGAGTTGAAGTAGTGTGTTAAACAGGTTACCTGAATCAATAATCAGAGCGGTGGGAGTCACGTGAGGGAGGTCTAGGGTCATGTGATTTGGCGGGGCGTTCTGGGAAATGGAGTCTGGAGGCGGAGCCGGAGGAAGCCGTGGCACTGTTATTTACTTTCATTTGAAAAAATAAAGTAAATTATGTTAACAAATTGTTTTGGTGAACACACACACACAGGTTACAAGGCGTAAATTTTCTGATTTCTCAACACTGAACTGCACTTTCAAAGTAAACTGGCTCAAAACAATTTCTTAAAAGTCCTATTCTACTTGGAATTTCATCCCTCGTCTTATTTTCACCAAATAAAGTGATATTGGTTTTCTCTTGATGTGTAATTATGACATTAATAAAATCTTTGTGTTATCAAGCCTTCATAAACAGATGCTTAAAGAATGGTGTATGCTTTATAAGCACAACCTCTCTCCACAGAAATGTCGTTTGGAATAACGACATTCTGTACACAGACAAATCAATATTTTCTAAATGTTTGATAAAGAAAAACAGATCCTCTTGATATGTCAACTTTTCAATACAAATGGCTTTATATAATATATAAATTATAGTGAATTTTTGGAAAAATACAAAATACCTATGGCTCCAAAAAAGTCTGCCATAGTCTTTGACGCCATATATTCAGGTGTCGTTGCATTTCTGTGAGGACAACTTTGTCCAGTTGCTGTGGAACTTGCTTCAAAGGAATACCGTTACAATGCGATAGGTGTTTGGTATTGGAATAGGTTTGTATAAAATATATCTTGAAGAAAAGTTTGGGCTTTGCCCTTAAATAATTTTTTGACCAATGAAGTGAGACAACATTAATTCTATAGGTTAATTCATAGATTTTACATAGATTTTTGTACTTTTTGTGAAAGTCCATCAGAAATGGCCCTTTATTTATTTTAGGACTGCAGCCAAAAAGAAATTTTGTTCTGATCTTCTATACTCAATTAAAACTAGCATTTGTGCAGATTTTACATTTACTTTGAAACATGTATTGTTTGGATTTCTTGATTATCAAATGGAAAAGGTTGACCATGTATTATGCATTTTGTTCTAGCAAATATGTGCACAAAAGTAAATTTAGAAATATGAAGTCGAAATTTCCCCTTATAAATGAACTAAAGCTATATAAAATAATATTGTGACATCCCAAAGTCCCAAAACTGCAAAAATTGTCCTTTTGCTGGCATCTTACAATTATCATGAGTAATAATTTTTTATGTAATTATATGATTATTTACATTTTATTATAATGTAGCCTTCAAGGGTGCTTCTGTATCCAGCTTGATGTTTGACGTCCCATCTTTGATCTATTAGTTGTGCGATGGAGGGGTTGCGTTCGTCCGTTTAATTCATTATCAAAATTTTCCCTGAGGAGAAATGAATGTTTTGAGCGCCACCAGCAGATGGCGTGAGTCTGCACCTCATACGGGTCAATGTTGCCAGGGCAACTTTCAACAACAATAACACCGATTCCTCACGTGGCAACAGACCTTGTGTTTTCTGCTGCTTTTATTTGCTTTTTATGATTTAAATAATATATTTTCAGTCAGTATTATAGTGTGCGAGAATGACTTCGACGTTACAGCCTGATAGCGAGACTCCGAATGAAACATACACATTTTCTAGTCGTCCACGACCTGTTCCAACTCGTCTCAAATACAAGGAGCACGCGATTACACTGTAAATAAGCGCCCTTTATTATATTTCCTGTTTTTTGTCTGATATGGTAAAGTTTGCCTTGAAAGCTAGCCAGCTAATTAACGATACCTGCATTAAACCGACGGTTAGTAGTTTGTTAGCTAAAGAGACTGAAGGGTCTGGGATTTTTTTCTGCCATCGTTGTTTTGTTGTATTTATATTTCGTTTATCGCTATGTAACGTTAGGTTGGCTAACTTCGTTTTTTTCATGGGATGCAGAAACGAAGGACAAGGAATCTATGGAAACATTATGTATGATCGACGTGTCGTTAGAGGAAATACCTATGCCCAACACGTTCTACCACGTGTAAGTAAGAGTTTATGTACTCAAGAAATGCCGTAGGCCTAATTATCTTAAAAAGTTTCTAACTAAAATGCGAGGAGAGTCACTCGAACATTTTGCTGTCAGAAGACAGTAGATTTATTATGTTGAAGATGATGTATTACTTATCAAACGGAATTAATTAATGAATCGTTTGTGTATAATCAGTACTTTTGCAATATGTTTTTGACAGACGTCTCAGCCCGACCTTGTTGAGATTCAAAGGCAGCAAGAGGCTAGAAAAAGATCCATCGCAAAAAAACGGGCAAAAGAGTTTCACTCAAGAACCCCAGACGCACTTCAGGGGAGAAAACACACAGATGTGCAGACTGGTAAGTAAGGATGACATATCTTGTCACTTTGTTGCTATTTCTTATTGTAATGTTTTTATAAAAACAAATTTAAATGTGATAAGAAGGCCCTGTGATGGACTGGCGACCCGTCCAGGGTGTATCCTGCCTTCCGCCCAATGACAGCTGGGATAGGCTTCAGGACCCCACCGCAACCCAGAAGGATAAGCGGTTTAGATAATGGATGGATGGATGAAGTGATAAGAAGTGGTGACAAGTCAGAAAGCTGTAGCTAACTTCTTTCTTTTTGAATAAGAAGTGTTAGTCCGCAAATAGCCTTCACTGTTGTCCGAATGACACCTGTTTTTGTGGTATTTCTGTTTTTGTGCAGTCCTTGGAAACTCCAGTTAGAAAGGACAGAGGTTTTAATTATACAAGATTATACAAGAATTATATAACAACAATTTCACAAGAAATATAGCTTTGGAGATAACAGACCTACTGAGCATAGGCCTTTCCTGTATTTGATTTTGTTGGTCTTTCACTTTAAGTAACCTTGCACACCATATGAGCCTTTGGAGTTAAGAAAGCTATAGACCAAATCACAGTGTTTGTAAACTGATATGTCAAATATTGTGGGTGGAAATGGGGTCTATATGCCTTTAAAAAGTGTGAAGGTGCCCAGTTTTCCCCTGCTATTGCTGAGAAGAGAGAGCATGAATAAAGAAGTGTGTTAGGAAAACTGCTTTTTGCTTCCCACTTTATCCAGCCCACGGTTAAGTTCAGTTTGTTCCAGTTCCTCCAAAGATGTTTAGTGGGGTTGAGATCAGGGCTCTGTGCAGGCCACTGGATTTCCTCCACACCAAACTCATCAAACCATGTCTTTATGAAGTTCACGTTGTGCACAGGGGCACAGTCATGCTGGAACAGGAAAGGGCCTTCCCCAAACTGTTGCCACAAAATTGGTAGCATATAACTGTCTAAAATATTTTTGTATGTTGTAGCATTAACATTATCCTTCACTGAAATTAAGGGGCCAATACCCCAATAGCCCAAAACCTGAAAAACAGCCCAAGACCATTATCTCACCTCCACCAAACTTTACTGTTGGCAAAGTGCATTCTGTTAGGTAGTGTACTCATGTTGACATTTACCATCTGTGTGATGTAGTCGTCATAAAGTTTATACAAGCACACTAGCTCATGAGCCAAAAAAAAAAAATATCCAAAAGAGATGGGGAAAAAAGCTATTGAAATCAGTCTGGGAAGAGTTCAAAAACAATTTCTAAATTCCTAGAACATCACTGAACCTTAGTGAGAGCCATTAACTACATACAGGGAACCCTAGGAACATTGGTGAATCTTCCCATGAGTTGCCAGCCTGCCAAAACAGGGCAGATCATCAAGTTATCAAGTTCTGCATGTCACAGTAAGAATATAATGCACTGCAATGCGTAACATTCAAAAGAGAAAAGCAAATTTTACATTTTGGAGTGGCCTAGTCAAAGTTCTGACTTGAAGCCAACATAGATGCTGTAACAGGGCCTCTAATGAGCAGTTCATACTTGAAAACGTATATATCTGAATTAAAGCAGTTCTGCAAAGAAGATTGGGCTCACGTTGCTCCACAGTGATGTGAAAGGCTGATATCAAATTACTGAAAATGTCTAATGTCTAATATTACATTTTATTTTGAGATCTAAAAGCATTTATTTAGATAAATATGCAGCAATAGAGAAAATCTGGAAGAGGCAAACACTTTTTCATAGCACAGTAAATCTGATCTTTTGGCTTGAAAACATTCCTTATTGTTTGCAGAGAGTGAAGCAGTGTCATAGATCCGATGCAGTTCAGTTATCTTACGAGTCCAACAATTCAAAAGTATTCTTGCATTCTGTTTTGAAATTTGATTTGTATCTCAGAGTTATACTTGGAGGAGCTGAGTGATCTTACTGAGGATACCAGTGTGGGATGTCAAACAGATGCATTCCTGGACAAACCAACCACTCCTCTCTTTATCTCTGCCAAATCTGGAAAAGATGTAGCCACACAAATAGAGGAAAGCGAGGTACAGGTAGAACTTTTTCTTCATTTTTTAACCTGATTTTACACTTCTGCTTAATAGTTATGCCCTCTTCTAAAGCTCTTTTAATAATTAAGGCTGTAATTTGTCTGTGATCACATTACAAGAGCATCAAAGTTAGAATTAAGCAATAGTTTGTCAAACTTCAAATGTATACAAATTTTCGTTTACTACAAATGATGTTTATTAGCCAAGACATGTTTGGTATCTGAAATCTGCTAATTCAGCTAAGAAAAAACTTGAATCCTACCAGTTAGCACTGTGAAAACTGCATGTGTAAATCATAAGTATATATATATAAAGTTTATATAAGAAAAGTTTTAGGATTGTGCATTAGGATTGTCATTTTTTTTAAATATTCACTATTGTTCAAAAATGAAAAATGACTTTCTAATGTTGATATATTTTGTGATTTTATTCATAACAGTTTATGGAAGTACTAGGTACCTGAGGTGGTTCGTTAATGTATTGACTAGAGAGATATAAAAACAACAACATTTAATTTTTAAAAATTATTATTATGTATTATTATTGGTAATACTTATTTTTTATTTCTTTTTCTTTTTCATTCTAAAGAAATCAGCCTCCACAGTTTCACGTATTCCCTCCAAATTCACACTCCAAATTCTGTAGGATTTTTTCAAAGTGATTACACAGCTTAGAGCTGGCTCTTCATCATCATCATCATCATCATCGTCGCTAACCGCTTAGTCCAGCTAGGGTCGCAGTAGCAGTTGGGAGAGCAGAGAATCCCAGATGACCCTGTCCCCCGCAACTTCCTCCAGCTCATTTCCGGGGACCCCAAGCCGCTCCCAGGCCAACCCGGAGATATAATCCCTCCAGCCCATCCTAGGACGACCCCGGGGTCTTGTCCCGGTAGGCCGTGCCTGGTACACCCCCACCGGGAGGCGTCCAGGGGGCATCCAGATCAGATGCCCGAACCACCTCAGCTGGCTCCTCTCAATGCGGAGGAGTAATGGCTCTACTCTGAGCTCCTCCCGGATGGCCGAGCTCCTCACCCTATCAAATAGAGTGTAGCCCGCCACCCTGCGAAGAAAGCTCATTTCCGCTGCTTGTATTCGCGATCTCATTCTTTCGGTCATTACCCATAGCTCATGACCATAGGTGAGGGTCGGGATGTAGACCGACCGGTAAACAGAGAGCTTCGCCTTATGGCTCAGCTCCCTCTTCACCACTACAGTCCAGTACAGCGACCGCATTACTGCTGCCGCCTGTCCCAGCCTGCGGTCGATCTCACGATCCTTCTTCCCATCACTTGTGAACAAGACCCCGAGATACTTAAACTCCTCCACCTGGGGCAAGTCCTTTCCCCCCTACCTGGAGTGGGCATGCCATCCTTTTCTGGGCTAAGACCATGGACTCAGACTTGGAGGTGCTGATCCGCATACCAACCGCTTCACACTCAGCTGCAAACTGCTCCAGTACCAGAAAAGCTGGTCCATTGTTCCACGGCCGGGACGGAATCCGCATTGTTCGTCCTCAATCCGAGGTTCAACTATCGGTCGAAGTCTCCTTTCTAGCACCTTGGCATAGACTTTCCCAGGGAGGCTGAGCAGTGTGATACCCCGATAGTTGGCACACACCCTCCGGTCCCCTTTCTTAAAAATAGGGACCACCACCCCGGTCTGCCAGTCCAAGGGTACCGTTCCCGAGGTTCATGCAATATTGCAGAGGCGATAGTCAGTGGCAAGGCACCAGAGGTGGATGAGATTCGTCCGGAGATGCTTAAGGCTCTGGATATTGTGGGGCTGTCGTGGCTGGCACGCCTCTGCAATATTGCATGGCTCTTCATATGACTAAATATATTGATGTCAGCTTTTCCATTTCTTGTTACAGCTTTTTGACTTTGATGTGGAAGCCCAGCCTGTGTTGGAGGTGCTAGTAGGAAAGATCATGGAGCAGGCTTTACTGGAGGTTTTAGAGGAGGAAGAGCTAGCTGTCTTGAGGACACAACAACGCGCTTTCCAGGAGCTACGTGACACTGAAATGGTGGAGGTTGAGCGCCTGGAGGAACAGGAGAGGCGTCGCCGTGAGGAGAAGGTACTATTATCGTGAATCTAGGGTGGTCTTACAGTATACATTATATGTATAGCATGCCAGCATTAATATTAAATGGCTAGTTCCAGTGTTTGCATTTTGCCCCAAATCTGATCACTAAATATCCTCTGCTCTTGGCAGAGAATTAGAATTTATGTTTACATTGATAAATTGATTTATTCATTGCATTATTGCAATATTTCCACTATATTTACATCTAAGACAGCATGTAAAAAAGGCAGCATATGTTGCTCCAAAATGTGTTCAGCATTAATGGTACCTTCACAGATATGCAGGTAACCCACTAATACACCCCCAAAATGACAAATCCTGGCTTTTGAACTTGCTGGACAATCTGGATGATCCTTTTCTTCGTGGGCTCAGAGAACACAATGTCCATTATTTCCAGTCTGAAAGATTTACTCATCAGACCACAATACACGTTTCTACTGTGAATCAGTCTATTTCAGAAACATGCTATTTTTTATTGCAGTGCTGTCTGAGGGGTCACAGGCATTCATTTGAGTTTTTGTGGCCTTTTCCTTTATGCACAGAGATTTCTCTAGATTCCCTGAATCTTGATATTATGCACTGTAGAATGTGAAATACCTAAAATCATCGCAATTCCTTAGCTGAGAATTTTTTTAACTGTTAGATTTTTTGCAGATGTATTTTTTACCGATGCATTTTTGGTATATTTCTCCAAGTATTTCTCAGTAAGTGTGTATCTTAATGGACATACTGTCAATGTTTATTTCCTTTTGTGCTGGAACAGATTGTGCCAGTGTGTTTATCCATGTTTATATTGTCTCTTATATGCAACAAGTATCTTCTTTTTATAGCCTCTTTTCTACTGTATGGCCAAACTATTCTGAACACAGAGAGTAAATTGTTCGGGTGGACATGGTTTGGCATGAAATGCTTAAAAATTTTCCCAGCATGGTTTCCTTAGGATGGTTAGCTAACTGTGGCTATGATTTAATGACAAAGGTTTTCACTGAATGGCTTGACATCACTTTTGTGATGCCTCATCTAGGCAAAAACAGTTAAAAAAAACTCAGAAGCACAATGTGGCCATGGCAGCTATTCAGCCCTACAGCAAATGCCATCATCTTGTATGCCTGTTATCTATTCTGATTGTCTTTTCATGTTTGCTGTTTTCCTAATGCAGGACTGCAGAATTAAGCAGAAAAGGGCAGTTCTAGAGAAGGAGAGAGAGACAGCAGAAAAAATTGCTGCTAGAGTGTTCGCTCAGCATTATCTCGCTGACCTGCTTCCCTCAGTCTACACCACTCTGGAGGACCATGGCTATTTCTCTGACCCAGTGCAGAGAGGTGTGCATCCCTGCCTCCAGTTCTTTGTACTTCAGTCAGTGAATATAGAAATATAGGAATCTAAAAGACAGCTTTGATTGGAGAGTATAATATAAATATATATCGCTGCTGTCGGAAGAAAACCTTGTATCTCTGTTTATGTTAATTTCAAAATGCCTTTTGCCATTGACATTGTGGTCATGATGAATGGACCAAAAGAAATGGGCCAAAATTACTTGGAAAAAAATCTGGTTCCATTGACATACATAAAGGTGTTCTTCCGACAACAGCGATATATATGTATATATGTATGTATAGGAAAAAAATATATGTGTGTGTGTATATATGTGTGTGTGTGTGTGTGTGTGTGTGTGTGTGTGTGTGTGTTCCCCCCTATTACATCATAACTCCTACTTCTCTTGAAATATGACATCTATAGGTTATATAGTTATACACGTATTATATCGGTTTTTATCTTTTAATCTATATCCTTACATTTATTTAAATATATCCTCACCCTCTGTACTTCAGATATAGAGACAGGATTCCTTCCCTGGCTGGTGACGGAAGTAAACAGTGCTTTGGAGAAGCGACAAATTGCACTTACAGTATTTGACAGTGAGTTCATGATTTTTTTTTAATCTTATATATTTATTCCAAATGAGTATTTTCCTTCAGATAGATACAGCTTCTATCTGCAGAATGTTTTCAGATATTGGTAACAATTTTCGAGTGGTCCCTTGTAGATGATTAATAAACTCTTAACAGAGTTTCAGTAACATATCAGTGAAGTAGCAGTAGTACAGCTTCGGAAAACATTGAGGCAAATGTCTTGAAGATGTACTACTGATACATTACTTACATTAAGTAGATGTATATGTTTCATGAAGTAGACTTTATATGGTACTTCCATTAAGCAAAGCCTGACCATACCCAAAGCCTAACTCTCACTCTAGCCTGAATCCTAACCTTAACCAAAATCTTATTCACTAACAGAATGGTGTCAGCATCATGTCTATAACAGCTTGTTGAGGATGTTGAGGTGGTGTGTATTATGCCTGTTACATGTTTAGTGACCTCTCGGGTTAACATCTACAGATATAAATTTGAACACCAAATAAAGGGAAAAACAACTGAATTCAGCAGGTTATAAACAAATTTTATTTATGCAGGAAATTAAACATTTCTTGATAATGTACTGAATATATTCACTGCTGCTACATAATTCCTGTTGATTAAGTTGTTGATGTGTTACTGAGAGTCTATTGAGTATTTAATCTAAAAAGGACCTCTCAAAATAAAGTGTCACCCAGGTATTCAGTGTAGTTTTTTGATACATGTGGAAAGTTAGAGCTTTGACATCCTCATTAGTTGCTTCCTTTGGAAGCCTCTAAATTTCTGTTGTACTCCTCTGCCTCCACTCCATTCTAAGAATGGTAAAAAAAACAATGCAATATATTAAACAAATTAAAGCATTGCCAGTTCTTTAGTTGGTGCTATAGTTACACTTTCCTCTCTTTGATTGTAAGAAAATCTCTATAACTTTCTACTAAGTCCTCCAGGGTGGTCATTCCTTGACAGCATTGTTTTGTAGTTTTCATTTGACCTTCTGAAGAACAAAAGAATTAGGTGATTAGTATTTGGATTTTTAAATCAAATTTCTGGAGAGCTTAGCATATAAAATACATTGTAGAACAAGCTGTTTCTTTGGGGTCACTGGTAAGTTTGATATTTAATGTGCAACTAGATTGTCAAACATAAAAAATATACAAAGTTCTGCTCACCTTGCTTTGTCCACCGAAGATAAGATCACTAAGTTTTAGGACTTTAAGTCACTAAGCAGAATCGCCAGCCTCTAAAAAGTGTGTTAAACAGCAAGTTCTGTTGACTGAGGTTGAGGCATCATGGTGTTGTTTAGTGTTAATTGCAACTGACAAAAAATGTTGGGAAGTATTTTAAATGCACTATTTTTAAAATATCTTTTTTTAATAATTCATCCAACCATCAAATAGAGTATTTTTTGTATAAGTGTTAAAATCAGTTCCATTTTAAATTGTTTCTAAGCATCTAAGATACTGTTCAAATAATTGGTTGACAACATTTTCCAGATTGGTGTGGTAAGGTCAGTCATTTTTCAGATGTGTTGTAGAAAAAGTCATGATATTTATTTGACTGGTGTTTACATAGTTCTAGCTGCTGAGTACTACGTTACCATGTCCTGGATAACATATAATATTTAACCTCACCATAATCAGGAACTTCTTACCTAAAACCATGGCCAGCAAGGTGAACTGTAACTATTCTGAGTGAATTCACACTCCAACTGACTCTTTATTGTTCTGTTACAGTTCTCATCCAAGATGTGACCAACTGCAGAAGAGAGATGTTTCAGATTGTCAACCCTGAATGATATTGCCTTCCTCTGTTGGTAAATTCATACAATTTACAAAATATTTCTCTTATCATTTATTCGTAAAATAATAAGGTCTGTAATAAGGTCTCATGAGCGTGTTAACAAATGTGTCTCATTTTCACCATAATGTAATATGCTTTTGTCATACTGGTTCCTTTACTGCTAATACATGTTGTTGATCATGTTCTACACCTAAAATCACTGTCATTAATAGATCATTTGTAATACTTTTTGTTTTTTCATGCATTGTAGCTTTTACAGACTGGCAATTCTCCACTGCTTCAACAGAGCAGAGAATTTCAAAGAGCGAAGATTATAAATATTATACACTAGTAGCACAAGCAACATTTGCTGTTTGTATTAATCATAAATACATTTGGTTAACAAATGTTAATGCAAATGTTTCATGTAAACATTTTGTTGGGTTTCATGTAATGGCAGTTGCAAAGGTTTACCATATACAGATGCAGACTAACATAAGAATGTATAGGATTTTTAACCCTTTCCCATTGCAATTGAGTATAAGATTAGACTTAAAGGGATACTTTGACCAAAATGAAAACTGAAACCATCGCTACTGTTGTATGTGCATTTTGTTGTTGCTGTAGTCTTTCTGTAGTCTTTCCTCTTCTGATGTTATATCTAGAATGTTGAAGGCTGCTTCTGGGGTGGATGTTTGGCTAAATTTCTTTTTTTCTGTTAGCTGGTATATGTAGATAGCTAAAGTTACTGCTAGGAAGCTAAACATCTTATTGCAGTCGTTTATCGTTCAGCCTTTATTTAAATACTGAGGACATTGAGGGTGACCTTCATTTACAACGTAGCCGAGCCAATACTGAAATCAGGGATTGAACATTTTTTATTGTAAAAACATATACACATAAAAGTGATAAATAGTAAATAAAAAAATAAATCAGAATAAACTGTAAAAATTGCAAAAATTAATTAACATAAACATCAGATCAACTAGGAATAAAATAATATTAAAATATAGTTAATATATATATAAAAAAATATAAATATAAAATAAATAAAAGAATAGAAAATGTAAAACTATAACTTAAAAGTTAGTATAGTAAAATAAATAAAAAGAATGATACATGTAAAACATAATTGTTTTTTTTTAAATATTAAAACATAATAATAAATAACTAAAACATACCAAAATCTGCGGCACGGTGACGTAGTGGGTAGCGCTGTCGCCTCACAGCAAGAATGGCCTGGGTTCGACTAGGGTCATTTCTGTGTGGAGTTTGCATGTTCTCCCCGTGTCTGCCTGGGTTTCCTCTGGGTACTCCGGTTTCCTCCCACAGTCCAAAGACATGCGGTCAGGCCAATTGGACATGCTAAAATTGCCCCTAGGTGTGAGAGTGTGTGTGACTGTGTATGTCTGTCTGTCTGCCCTGCGATGGACTGGCGACCTGTCCAGGGTGTATCCTGCCTTCCGCCCAATGACAGCTGGGATAGGCTCCAGGACCCCACCGCGACCCAGAAGGATAAGCGGTTTAGATGATGTATGTATGTATGTAACATACCAAAATCATATTGAAAATGAGCAAAAATCAAATAAAACAATTACGGGCTGAGTGGAAGTGGTTAGAGACTAAAAGATTAAAATGTTCATGTGACACCAGCAAGCAATGTTGTAGAGATTTCTGTAATGAATTCCAGCTCACTGGTGCACTATAGCTAAAAGCAGATTTTCCCAGTTCAGAAAACACTCTTCGCACTTAAAGGGTAATCCAGTTATTATTTAATCCAGTATGATGGCATATGGCCAGTAAGCTCTTTATGAATAAAAAGAATCCAGTGTGTCTCCAGCACAGCTAGAGATGACCAGCCATCCTTCTTATATAGTACAGTGATGGGTATTGTAGAGGTCACAAGTAATGAATCTTAAAGCAGAGTGGTGTAAAGAGTCTAAAGATTTCAGAATAGTTGCGAGTGCATATCTGCACATCACCATAATTCAGAATAGACAATAGCATTGCTCTGACAGTCTTTTTCCTTGTGTGCATTGGGAAACATTTTGTTTTGATACAGGAATTTTTTTGTCTAGAAATATCCACATATTTATATTCACTAACTTTTTCAATGTCAGATCACTTAAGGGTTGTGATTTTAAAAATGTTAAAATCAATGTTTGGGGCTCTGGAAAATAGCATAGATTTATTTTTCCCAACATTTAAGACTAATTTATGATTGTAAAAAGCTGATTGTAAGGCATTAAAAGAATACAGCAGTTACATTACAGCACCACTATAGCCAGCCGAGCAGTACAGAATGGTGTCGTCAGCATATAAATGTACTTTGTCTTTGACAAAGGAGGTGGCATTGCCATTAATATAGATATTAAATAATTCTGGTCTGAAGATTGAACTTTGATGTACCCCTTAGTGATCGGTAGTAGTTCAGATTTACCTTGTCCCAGGGCCACACATTGCTGACTATCCAAGAGATATTTTCTAATCCAGTTGACAGCACTGTGGATAAAAATGATATTTTGTAGATTTTTCAAAAGTATGGAATGATCAACTGTATCAAAGGCTTTGGAGAGATCAATAAAAATGACTGCACAATGTTTCTTGCGATCAATGTCAGTGAAAAGATTGTCTAAGATAATAGTAGTAGCTGAGATTCTAAGATTTTGCCTTAGCATGACAGTATCGAGTTGGGTCTATAGTTATTAAGATCTGAGGCATCACCTGTTTTTGGAGTGGAATTAAATGTGCTGTTTTCCAGATATTAGAATTTCTGCCCAATAAAACAGATAGATTAAAAAGAAAAAGAGGAGAGAAGAGATGCGAGAAGAAAAGAGAATTGAATTGTAAAGAGACTATGTCTTCCAGCAAGGGCTGGATCCATTTCGAGGCGCTTCCAAGTTGGTATTATCAAATAAATGTCCAGCAGCTGCGAAGTGAGTATTAAATGCTTGGCAGAGCTCTCTTGCTGATGATCATTAACTAAGATATGAGTTGCAATAGGCACCGGTTTGTTTTTGAGTAAATTGACTGTCCTCTGGAATTTGAAGGAGTTTGAAGCTGAATTTGTAAATAACTGAAGGTGACATTCTGCTTTTGCTTTTGTGACGTAGGAAGTATATTTATTCCTTAGTTGCCTGAGAATAAGCTATTGGTTTCTTTCACCATTTCTTTTTGCAAAGGCCCATACTTTATTTCTTGCATTGAGAAAGGAAGATATTTCAGTGTAGTATCTGTAGTAACTTCCTTAAATAATCATTACAGTGGAGTAAATGGATTACTTACATGACAGGAATGAAGATAAAAAATTATGAATTCTGTCACCGAGACTGTTGAGGCTGAGGATATAATGCTTATAGTGCTGCTTTTAGTGTTTGTTATGAATACTGCGTAACACAACAGATAACATTAAAGTCTAGTATACAGCCAGAATGCCACTTTAATATGTGTGAAACTGTGAGTGTACAAACATTTCTGTACTGCAATCAACCTACTTTTATTAATGAATGTGGATGTTAAATGCAAAAGTCCAGCTGGAAAAAGGATGTGGGAAGGGTCCTCATTTGAGACAGAGCACAGCCAGTTTAGCAGTTAAAAAGAGACACCAGTAAGCAATAGAGAAACGATGAGACAAGGAACTTGCAGCAGAAAACAAGCACAATGAGGTAGAGGGTGGTAGGATGTGGAGCATCCTTGAAGTTCTGGTAGTTGTGGAGGACATTGTACAGTACTGTGCAGGATCACAGACCACCCTTCATTTTTTATTTTCTAGTTTAAATGACAAGGACAAGTTACTCATTTTCATTCACAAAAACTTTCAACATCAGATAAACAGTACATAAATATTTCATCTTTGAGAGATATGAGACATTTAAGCTCCACTCTTGCTTCAAATCTGAAAAAATCCACAGATGTTTCTGTCTGTCCTTCCGCTGTGAGAAGACAACACAGCGTTGTTTTTTTAAACTGTCAATAAGCTGTTCCTGAGAAAAGGAAAATTTGCACTAGAACACTAAAACTGAGTTGTGGAGTAAGGTTTTATGGTCTGATGAGTCTAAATTTGTCATTGGAATTACTTGGATCATGTGAAGCAGCAAATGGTACCAACTTCTAAAACTCGACTGAATTTGGAAATTTCTTTAAAAGACTAAAACAAGGCTTCCTAAATGAATAGAAGCTTTAATGAAGGCAAAGGGTGGACACACAAAATACTAAACAAACTGACATATATTTAGTTATTAAGACTTGTGTGTGATTTTCTGTTATATATATGTTGTCTGCTTTTTCCTGATGCTGAAAAATGAATAACTTGCACTTAGTGGCCATTTTGTCAGAATAATGGGTGGTGAATGTGAAACACAGACATAACTGGACACAGAGAAGGGATTTGGGAAGGGTGCTCAAAAGAAAGATATTAAAGTGGTAGTTTGGCAAAAAATCCACATACCATTTCCCTTACCCCTAATGAGCCAAAACATGTTTAGTGTCCAGAGTTGGCTTTTTTATTTGTGCATGGGAGCTACAAAGCTAGTGTAGCTATCACCTTACAAAAGCATTGTGCAAAGTTAGCATCATGCAAACTACCTCTGTTTAGGGCATATGATGCCATGGGATATATACACTATATGGACGAAAGTATTGGGACACATTACGCCTACGTGAGCTTTTATTGTCAATCCACAGAATATGTTTCCAATGCTCCAGGGTCCAGTGGCAGTGTGCTTTACACCACACCATTCAATGCTCGGTATTGTGCTTGGTACACCTGCTTGGCCATGGGAACCCATGGCATGAAGCTCCTGGTGCACAGTTGTTTTGCTGATGTTAATGCCAGAGGAGGTTTGGAACTCTGCACTTATTGAGCCAGCAGAGCGTTGGCACCTTTTATACACTAAGTGCCTCGGCGCTCAGCCACACCGCTCTGTAACTTTACATGGTTGAGTTGCTGTGGTTCCTGAACGCTTCCAATGTTCAATAATACCACTCACAATTAATCGTGGAATATCTAGGAGGGAAGAAATTTCGCAAAACTGA